ACTAATAACGGTAGTCATGTATTTAGAATTCATTGAGTACTTAATGAACACTTTCTATACATTAAAATATTACTTGGCATGTTATAATGATAGTGCAGATGTGTTCCTACAGCTTGAGACTCATCACAAAAGCATTAGGTTTATGTTATAAACTTTATAATAGTCTGTGATATTATATATATATATATATATATATTTTACAACAAAGGTATGAAAACTGAGGAGTTAGCTCAGTAGTAGAGTGCAAAATAAAAAACAAAAACAAACAAACCACCACCACCAACCTACAACAACAGCAGCAAAATATGAGGGAGATCTTTCATTTCTTAACTCTAAAAACATATTAAATGATTGCTATAAATTTCATATTCTTCCACTGCCACAATGTTTATATTGGTTTATTATGAAATAATACATGCACAGCAACTACCAAAAGAGATATTTTTTTCTGTACTTTCCATTGTTCTACGTGAGTGTAGAATGAGTGTTGATTTACAATCATAAAGAAAGAAATCCAAAAAACTGAGGAATGTGGACAGGAAGAGCTTGACATCTCTTGTTCACAAATGAACTGCCAGCTGCAGCCATCACTCAGGCAGGAAACCTCACTCAGGAAGGAATTCAGCAAGCGGGCCAAAGGGAGACTTAAGTTTTCAAACAGGAAGCACCATGGAATCTGCTTCTGGTGGTCAGAGGTTGCTAGTGTAAAGCTCCAAAGCTCCTGGGGAAAGATGATGCCTGCCTTTGTAGTCAGAAAGTCATAGATCTGTGTGTGTGTGTGTGTGTGTGTGTGTGTTTGCATGTGTGTGTGTATTCACATGTGTATGGGGGGTAGCGATTGGGGGGTGGTATTAAACTGAAAGACCAGATTTGTGTAGTACCACTTAGATTCATTGACAGTAGGACCAGACTAAACCAGCTAATTTTAGTCTGAACCACGACATTTAGTACCTGAGGTGATCTAGAACAAGTAGATCAACCTAGCTGGGTGATAATTCTTTCATGAGCCTATAACTTAAATGTCTTGGGTCCATTAGACTATGCCTACATGTGAAAGTAACATTTCTATTAGACTATGAAAATTACAGTGGAGAAGACATCAACTTGATTTCTAAAGCAAACCACAAACGTGTTTCCAGGGGCATCTGAAAGACTTTCACATGCTTTCATCCCATGTTCTCTGACTTGGCATAGTTCAGCTTTGGATTCTTTGTATGACACTGGCCTCTTCTGTGAGGAGCATGGACACATGATGTTTCTCTTCCTCTGCTGCACCACTGAAAGCATGAGAACAGGCCTTGCTATTAGTTCCCTTTAGGACAGCTCAGATTTGGCTTGTATCATTTATCAACACTTAACCACAGATTCCTAGCAAAACAAGAGAAATAGAACACAGATAGCCAGAGCTGAGATGGTGCTGCATGCCTGTAATTCTGGCTACTCAAGAGGCTGAAGCATGAGGATTGCAAGTTCAGGGCCAGCCTGGGCAATTTACTGATAGAATTTTTGGTGCAGAAGGGAATCATCTGATAGGATTTTTGGCATGGCTAAAAAGATAAGAAGTATGAAATATAAATGACCTTTAAGAATGTGGGGAGAGACTGCATGACCTCTGGGGTCTGGCATTCTCTCCGCCAGACACGTGGTATGGGGGCATACATGTAGCTTAGGTTTGGGGTGGTGCCTAAGGGGCATTAGTGATGCACAGGTAGCCCACTGGTATTCATTTTGCCCCACAGGTAAACTGTCTAGTGGCAGGGAAAGGTGACCTCAAGATAGAGCCCCTTTGGTTCTGCCTCCAAGGCTTCACCCACTACAGTATCCCATCTGGGGCAAAAACCTTTCATTTACTTAACTGTCTCGAAAAATTTTTAAAACCTTAAATAATATTCAAGGGAGACACTGTCCTTTCTCACTCATTTCTTCCTTTCTCCTTTCTATGAGTAGTTATTAAATACTTACTGTATGCTAAGAGCTGGTAAAAAAAAAACGACATGATCGCTGCTCATGAATGCTATAGAAATGGAAGAGACAGACATTAACCAAATAATCACACAAAGAAAAATAATTATAAATTGATTTATGCTTTGAAGAGAAAGTAGACTGTACTGGATAAAGAGACACTTAGCCCTGGAAATTAGGACTGAATTCCTGGAGAGATGACAGGAGAACTGAAAGTCAAAGAATTCATGGGCACTCAGAGGCTCAAGGGGATGGACAGAGAAAGACAAACAATGCTGAAGGATAAAGTATCAAAAAAATAAGCAACATCCACACAAAATGTGTACATGAATGTTCACAGTAGCATTAAACCCAAATGTCTATGAACAGTTAAAATGATCAATAAAATATGCCATATACATAGAATGGAATCATTCCAAATGGCAATAAAATGAGGTGCTGAAACAATCTGTAACATGGATCTCGGAAAATATGTGAATGAAATGAGACACCAAAGACCATATATTTACTCAATTTGTATGCAATATCAAATATCCAGAATAGGCAAATTTATAGACACATAAAGTTTGATGATTTATGACTGGAGATGAGGTGAAGAATTGACGGCTAGTGGGTACAGCTTTACTTTTTTTTTAAGAAGGGATAAAACTTCTAAAAATTAACTTTCATGATGGTTGCACATCCCTATTAATATTTTTTAAAAACATTGAATTGTATGCAAGTGAATTATATTGCAATAAAACTTTAAAAATAATTTTAGGAGCAATCCAAGAACTAGACATTGTGGAACTAGATTTCAATCTTAAATTTCTTCTCCTTTCATATTTACTGTACTCCAAATAACTATAGTTAGAACAAGAGACCACAATACTTTCTTTTAGGATGAGCTTGGAGGATTTATGATTCCATTAATATATGTTAGAATGGTAGAGTTGAGTCCACTGTTTTTCTGAATTAGCAACACCAAGCAGCTGTTTTTGTTAATCATGAGAGCTGTAAACATTTTTAAAAGCACTCAATTAGCATTTTTAAAGTCTTGTTAAAATCTCCTCATTTTTTTTGTTTTAAAAGTATTCCTATTTCTTGAAATCTTGTTTTCTTTAACATTAAGGTGCTAGCTTAAAATTTATTGTCTATCCAAATCTTAACTTTTAGAACCATACGAATCATTTATTAAATACTACATAGGTTCAAAATAGATTCAGAGAAAGGGAAAATGAGGTTGAGCAGGTGGCGATGCTTCCGTTTTGACACTCTGGGAAGGCCAGTGTTTCTTAGGAAAGTATTCCTGGTATCTGTACTAATCAGTTTCATAGTTCCTCAGCTGGTGTGTGTGTCCAATTTCATTTGGCTGGTGGTGGTGTTGATACGGTTAGGGTTTCATAAAGGTTCATTTCATTTCCCTTTCCAGCTTCCGGATTACTTGTGTGTGCATGCCAAAGTGTAATTCAGGCTTAACTGCTCTGTCTGTAGGCTAAATTGTCTTGTTTTATGTATGAGGAAGTTGAGACTCAGGGATAAGAAGCCTTGATTTGGTTGTGTCACTGCTAAATCAGGCTTCACATTGGAAGTCAAGTCTGATTTGAATTTTAGTGAAATTCTGTCTTCATTTCATAGCTTTCAGCTTCGAGTTTTCAAAACTTAACACTAAAGAAATAAGTATCTAAACAAAAAAATCATTTTATATTCCTTTTTTCTTAGAACTGGCTTATAGAAGAGATATTCATTCATCTGTGCAGTGTAAATGGAGGAAAGAACCAAAGGTGGGCCCTTCCTTTTAGGTCATTAGTTTTCTCAAGTAAGAAAGTTCCCGTTTATTTCTCCTGTTAAGCAGAAATTCATGTTTTTAACAAAAGACATCACACCACACCAAGGCTCTGATTTAAGGGATCAAGGTCATTAGTCAAGTCTTTCACAACTCTTTCTTACCTGTAATGCAACTCTCCTAATCTCCCTATTCTGGCCTCTTTAAAATTCATTCTCTATAGGAAAGATCTTCTAAAACAGTTACTGCAATTTATTTTGCTTATCAGTGACAGATAAGTTCCCTTTTTTCCTCCTCCCTAGCTCTCTAGTATCTAAATTACAGTATTTGTCTTCATCACTGCTCAACTCACAGCCTGTATCAGTGCTAAAATATATAGGAACACAACAAAAATTCGTTTAAGTGAGCACACGAATGTACCATCTCCCCCCAGATTTATCTCATAGAAGATTCAGTTAAAATTGTCTTTCTTGTCTGTCAAGATATTTCCAGCTTGAGGAATGGATACCCTTTGGGAGACAGTACAATTTGAATGGCCTGGCCTTTCCAAGTAAATCGGCAGTGATCTACTAGTTCAGTAAGTAGTAGGATGAGCATGCTTAGAATGAGCATCAGGGCCTGAAGATCCCCAGAGCTGACTCCTGGGGGTCGGATCGGATTGATAGTTTGGTGCGAAACAAATGGTCCTTCCTTACAAGGCTGAAAAGGGGAGGAGCCATCCGAGGAGATAGGCCCTACTGGGCTGCCAGATCCACTGGGACTTCAGAGGAAACTAAAGGTAGCCTCGTGGCGAACGAGCCTCACTGGCCGCAGGCGGTAAGCCAAAGGGGTCGCAGCAAAGGTAGAAAGGCTAGGACTAAACCTTCCGAAGAAGCCAAGGCCCAGGTATTTTGCCGCAGGAAAGGTTAACTGTTTCCAAGGCAACGGACCAGGAAGCCCGCAAGACATCCGCCGCAGGTTCTTAGGTCAGCCTTGAGTTTTAAGCTCCCAGGGTTGAGCAGGCTGTGACCAATGGAGCGGTCCCTTCAGTGCCATGGGACCGGTCCCGTGACGCTAGCTGTCTCGGAGCACGTGGGAAGGCTTTTTCCTGTGGCTTCTTTTCCTTCTAAGAGCCCACCTACTTTTGCGCGGGCTGGACCGCGGAGTTGTTCTCGCGAGAGGAGCGACTGCTCTCGCGAGACCGAGTGGGAGGCGTGGGGAGCAGCAGCACTGCGGGCTGGAGCTGCGGCGGAAGCCGAGGGGGTGGGCAGGGCGGGGGCGGGCCGCAGGGCCGGGAGGGGGGAGGGCCGGGGGCTGAGGCGGGAGGGGGCGTCCGCTGGCTCGCCGCGCTCGCGCTTCTGGTCGTTGCAGGCTGGCGGCGGGTCGGTGACATGCCTGTGAGCTTCAGAGGCTGAGGCCGCCAGGTGAGCGGAGCGAGCGGCCCCGCGGCGGTGGGCGGGGGGATGTGGGCTGCGATGGATGCGGCGGCCGGGCTCGGCGGCACCAGCCACCTCCCCCTGCCCGCGCTTCCAGCCGGGCTTCTGGCCGCCCGAGCGCGCACCTCCGCCTGGCGATGGGCAGAGCGCAGGAGGAGCTGGGCAGGGCTGGAAGCCCAAGGCCGTAGGGCCAGAGGAGGGGGCGTCCTGGGGTCTCGAGCTCTGCGGCGGAGGTCCTCCCCCCAGAATGACGGACACGGTTTTCACCCCGCTGTGGTCTTCCGACCGGGCCTTCGGGGCATGGTGGTGGATGTGCTTATTTGTGGCTGTAGTGCGCTCAGACAAGCTTATGCAGGAAGAGGAGGACGTTGCAATTTGTCCCCAAACTGCATCTTTCACTGTCAGAACCTCTGAGTCCTGGAACCAGGCGCTCCCGCAAAATCTTGTGACCGAAATCGAAGATGTCAAGTGGCCCCTTGGGGTATTGATATTTGCTTTTGCCGTCACATTCTTTCCCAGGCTGTTAAGGACCTAAATGGAGGCACTTAGTATTCCGAATGGATTGGGAATACTTCTGTTATCTCAGGCATGTAAACTGCTGTATAAAAAAAAAAAGTAGCAGTAATTAAAGCATTAAAGAGAGACTGGGAGGAAGAGAGAGGGGAGGCAAAATGACAATAAGAGTAAAATGTAAACCATCGCAGTAGTATGACTTGATGTTACTTTCCCTCTATAATCTTATTAATTGTAGATGTTTTCTTTTAAGATACAAAGGCATTTCGTGGTGAAGAATACTGATGTAATACACAGCTTTAGTGTATAGTGGAGTAAATAATTCCAGTTCTATTCTTAGCTTTGTAATTATTCAGTCGCTTTCTACATTCTTAAATTTCCCAAGCTGCTTCACACCTTGAAAGAAATGTTCTGTTAATTGATACAGATTTTATTGTATTTTAAAAAATACACAGTAAACATAGGTTATTCAGAGAAACTGGAGTACTTGGTTATGCACAGATGATTTGTTTTAATGTCTTGTTTTTTATTTTAGAGTGAATGACAGCCCAGTGTGTGACATGATTGATGTGCCTTAATGCAATGTAATAAATCTTTTTCAACTCATTAATATTCTTCGAGTAATATTGATTATTCATATATTTTTATGTTCCTTCAGGCAAAATTGTGACCCAAGGGTTGGCGTTGACTTTCACAAGTATTTGTGGTTGTAACAATGAGTTACAAAAGTAAAGATTATAAGGGAATCAAAGATTATAATAAGGGAGTCAGGGTTCCCAAGCAGATCTAGGTTCCCAAGCAGATCTTGTGATTAGTGTGCATATCCACAAAATTGCATTATTTGGTAACAGTTATCAAAGGCTTTGCAGTATACTCCTGGGCCAGTGGTACTTCTTAGGAATTGAAAATACACAAGAACCACAGTAAGAAATTGTCTAGCTTGGCCAGCCACTGCTTCTAGGCGAAGTGTGGAATCCTCCTTCTCCTTTAGGGACTAAAAAAGGAAGAACTGAAAAAAAATTTTTTTTAATTCCAGGAACTTACTGTCTGGAAAAGAAATACGGACCAGTTAAGACAGTGTGGTATAGGTCATATAAAGAGAAATTTCCAGTTATTAATAGGGTAGTTATGTCCCTACATGAAAAAAAAAAATGTGTAAAGCTTAGCAAACGCCTTTTTGTGAATTAGGAAAGGAGCCTGGATTAGAAAAGTTTCTTCCCATTTCATTGTTCAAACTGCTTTTCAGAGAGAGAACCGAAGTTTGTGGCTGGTTCTTGATAACCTTTTGGCAAAGGGTTTTATACTTCTAGGCCCGAGGCATTTGTTTGTGTTGTCTTTGAAAAGTAATTGAAATAATGGGAAGGGTAATTAATAATTACTTAAATAAACTGATTTTTTTTAGTCAGATGGCCTGTATTTAATAATAAAATTAGCTACCTGTGGCGAATGAGGGGTGGGGTAGGTTAGGAAAAAATGCAAGTTTAGCTTGAGTTTAAGTTAAGGATATTTGAAGTGATAACATGATAAAGGAAAGGAAAATGCTTTATCAGTTTAAAAACTGGCAGTTCAGATCCAAATGTCTTCATTTTAATGCTCATTCTTTTTTATACATTCATTAAAAGTATTTCTTGAATTAAAGCCATATAAATGTGTAGAAACTGGACATGATGAAAGGAGAAAAATTAACATTGTTGGTTAGTGTGGAAATGTGTCATGAGGGGAAAAATGCAGTGAAATGCCCTAGAACAAAGCATGTTACTTGAGTGAAAGTGAGACATGGAGTTTGAGTTTTGGAGTCAGACTTGTCAAATGCCCTCAGTCTCGTTTTCTCTATGCTTGAAATGAGAGTTAAGATAACTACTGTAAAAGTTAATCTGAAGCACCTTGTAGTTGCTAACAAGTGTTTTTGCTTTGACCTCCCTTAGTGGCTTGAGAATTATTTTGGTGCCAGAAACAAAAACCATTTATATTAGCTTATTTAAAAAAGGCATTTGTTGTAAGTTTGGAGTGCTGCCTGTAAAGTCCATCGTGTGATTCCTGTTAAAGTCAGTTACTCTCCTAAGTTTTCTCTGGGAACGTGTGTGGTCTTAGTTTTCTGCTAGCTCTGTGCCCATGCCAGCTTTTTTATGGTGTCCTTCTTACAGAAGGTCTTGGTTTGTGCCTCATTTTGGTTTTGCAGAGCACCGGAAGGAACCTGCCTCGCTTGGACTTTGCAGCATGGTTCCTAACAAGTATCTCCAAATCTCAGTTCTAAACTTATAGAAAGAAAACTTGACTGGTCAGCTGTTCACTTGTAGAGTTTGTTGGAGGTGGGGCAACATAGGAAGTAGCTGGGGGAGATCTGTGTGTCTCACAGTTTGTAGGGCTGCACTTCTCAAAGAACCACAAGAAGTTCTGTAAGAAAAGGAGTGTGAAGAGGGAGGAAATGTTGGGTACCTCTGTTGTACTTTTAACATTTTGTAGTTCTCCTAATTAGTAACACACTGAATTCGCTCTCTGCTTAAAAGTGATCTAAGTGGATCCAGTGGTCCCCTTCGGGACAAATTCCCCTAGATGTGTGGGTGAGGGCAGATTACTCGAATGCTTCATGCCTTAGCTCTCTGTGTATAAAATGAATATAATACTAACATCTCCGTTGTGACAATTATGAGTTCATATATGTAAAACAGTTAACGGTGTCTACTTGAAAAGTGGCAGGCTCAGTGCAACGAGTGTGAGTGTGCCTCAAGGGGCAGATTCTGAATGGGGCTCCTAGAGTGACTGGAGTTGATTCTTCACCATTTCTACCCTGAGGAAGGAAGAAGTTAGTGCTGACCACTCACTTGAGACGGTTTGTTGACATCAGTAGGATGAAGTCTTTAAATTATGGCACCTACCTTTCAGACTGCATTTATTTGTGGTTCCTTTTTTTCTTGTCTTTGAATCCTTTATTACAGTTGTCCCCCTAGAGTTCTGTTAATTTTTTTGTTTTTTCCCAGTCCCTGGGGTCAGCTTTCAGCCTTTGGGTATGTAGATAATCCTTAGAGTAGTAATTCAAGGTCTGACCCAACTCAATCTGTTAATTTTAGATACTACCTTTTAATTATTCCATAATTCATTGGCAAAGGCCATCTGCCTTTTTTTTTTGCTTCCCCAGGTATAAAATCGTTCACACTTGTTTTAATGCCTTATATATGCAGTTAATAGTTTCTGTGTGGGCATTTAGGGTATTTCCAGGCACTGGACTGTTGGTAAAACACATCTTTTTATACATTTCTGCTATTGGCTGCTTAGGATAGAAACTTAACATTTGCAAGAGCATCTCAAATGGCTTTTTAGTAGTACAGCGTTAGAGTATGGAGTTGCATGGTCACATGTGTTCCTGAGTTAAAATTCTGGACGTGTTTTTGGTCAGGAATAGTCATAAATATGGGTTATGTATTAAGATTAAGAATTCAACTTACCAAAAATAAATGAAAGAAAGGGGCCAGGGATTTAGCTCAGCGTCATAGCATCTGCCTGGCAAGTGTGAGGTCATAAGTTCGATCCCTGGTATCAAAAAAAAATTCAACTTAGACGTGTATTCACCTTGAAAGCACAATCTCAGGATTTTAATTTGGTGTGTGTTTGACTTGTATTTATTGTTATACAGTTAAGTTCTAGATTTAGTAGCCTCTTTTTTTTGTTTGTTTGTTTTTTTTGTGTGTGCAGGGGATTGAACTTATGACCTTGTGTTTACCAAGCAGGCACTTACCCACTGACCTAAACCCCCAGCTGATTTAGTAGCCTCTTTAAACTTAGTATTTATCAATGAAGTACATGCTGATATTTTAAATACCAATGATTGATGGGGTTCCAGCATGGTTTAAGAATGGGTCCCACCCTGGAATGCAATTGAAAGAATAACTTTTTAAATGAATGTTTGAGAAAACGTGGCAAAATAAAAATCCTTGTATTAATTTTTCAAAAAGTCATTTGGTAGGTGGCCCTGTTTTCTGTTTAATGATGTCTGCCCTGCCATCTAATACCGCTCTGAATTTCACATTCTTGATGAGATTTCCCTTCAACTTCCAGCTGTTTTAATTCAATAAATAATAGTAGTTTGTTGTGGGCAAGGCCTTTGAGGAAAAGAGAGACGAATAAGCAGTTGGCCTTAGAATGTATGCTCTTGATAGCTGGACTTTTCACTATTGTGTCTGAGTCAATAATTTTTAGACATTTAATGTTAATATTTACAGTCTAATGCAGGGCGAAGACTTGTATCCATTTAGCTGCTATGTGAGTCACTATAGTCTAAAAGTGGTAAAGTATGGCAGTGACAGTTTTGGTTCCCAAAGGATATTTGGCAGTGTTTAGAGTTTTGGTTCCCACAGGTAGGTGGGCTTAGTGGATTGAGACCAAGAGTACCGAAAAATGTTCTACCTATTATACATTGACACCTGCCCAACAACAAAGGGTGACATTTTGGGTCCATAATGCTGAGCTTGAGAAACCCT